GACCCCCACCCCACCTAGGGCTTCTTTTGTCTGCATCTTTTTCAGCACCCTGGTCCCTCCGTACTCCTCTCTGCAGACGTCCTTCTGAAAGTTACCTGCATTTTTAAAGTGCATATATTTTCTTAACGTCGCCCCACATCTACTTCTCTTTGCCTTAAAGCCTTCTACCCATTGCAATGTATTTCTTCTACGCTTGCTTTTTTTCCATAAGTTTTTTTTTTTTTTTAAGGGGAACAAAAGAAACGTGATTACCTTGAAAGGCGGCTTAGTGCAGTTTGTGGGAAACAATTCACCGCAGAGCTGCGCGAATGGGCTCGGCGTGCCGGGCGGGTCACATAGGAAGCGCAGTGGCCTGGGGAAGGGTGCGGACGGTGCGGGACGGTGCTGGAAGATGCGGGAGGATGCGGGGCTGACCACAGATCCCAGCCCCAGCGCCTGACGGCAGCGCTTAATGTTCGCGGCCGTTTCGCCCGCCCGCCTGGAGTTCCTCCCCAGAAAGGCTTGGGGCAGCTCGCCTGCAAGTTCAAATGCGGGTTGTGACACCCATCGTCATCATATCACTGTACCGTCAGCACCGAGGAGGAGACTCCGCGAGGAGGAGGAGGAAGGGGAGGAGGGCTCATTCACCGGCTCCTGAAGCGCTCCGCTGCTCCAGCCACTCCTAAGAGCCCAGGCTGGGAAAGCAGCGGAGGGGCGGAAGGCAGCTCCCCGCGCTCGCTGCAGGGACCGCCTGCCTCCCTCCCAGGCACTCCCACCTCTCGGCGTTTCTTCCTGACAAGTACCAATCGGCTAGGGGACAGCAGCGCTCCCCATTCAGCGACTCACGCAGGAACATCGCGCTGTGCGCCAGGAAGCCGCTGCCCTCCCACCCCGTCCCCACCCCCACCTCCCCGCCCCGCGCTGCCAGTTCTGGGTTAGGGGGAACGAGCCCCAGGCTCCGGTGGGGCAGGCCAGTTCTAGACAATTGAGTGCCGTCAGTTCTTGGGAGCAAAGGAAACTCTGGGAAATCTGCACAGAACTTGGCTGCAACGTGTTTACGCAGCCACAGAGCCTCCCCGTCCCATCTGAGGGAAGTGTCAGGCGCTCGGCTTCGGCCAACCTGAGACACAGAAAGCAGATCCTTCGGAAACGTGGAGGGAAAGCAAAGGAATCGCCCGCTGCCTTCCGCGGGACCTGCCCAATGGGAACCCAGCGGCATTGCGCAATCCACAAAGCCCCTCGGTGCTAAGGGCTGCACAGGAAGTTCTCGTGTTGGACTCAAACAGATCCTCTTCCTCTGACACAAACCTACGTGAAGTCTAGATTCTGCGTTCTTCCTTCTCTCCCTCCCTCTTTCTAAGTATCCCTCAAGGTAGAGTATTTAATAATTTTTCTGAGTGACAGAGACTCCTTGGATATATCATATCAATCACCTTCCTTGTGATCAGGAAGTGAAACCATGATCATATTGATGTGATTTTTGTTTTCAGCCAGGCCCACCCAACTACGTAAATAGCACCAACACATGGAAGAGTGGTCTGCATTGTGTTACAGAAGATTTCCAACAGGACCTTACAGAGCAAGGGGTCAACCAGTTGACACAAAGGATTTCTGCCCCTTAGAAAAAGAGGGACTTCGTGTTTTCCTTTTCTTTGAAGTCAAGTCTGCCCTTACACAATGGGGACAAAATAAGTCCAAGGTGCACATCGGTTTAACACTGGGATTACTGGGAAGGACAGCAAACCCTTCTTTCTGCACAGATATGGGAGCATCTTCATAATTCTTTCTGGCCTCTACTTAGGAATTTATATCAATCACAATCCCTCAGAACAGTGATGTTTAAAAGAGAAGATCCTCTTTCACTCTGAATTCTTTGAGTAGGTTGGCTGGAGCTCATATTTTAAAACTTGTAGTAACCTAGACTCTTGTCCATGCACATTTATCATATTTCTTTTGAGTTTCTTTTGCAAGTTGTATGAGTCCTGTGTTACAGTTTTTAAGTAATAAAAGATGGGTTTCAATGCTCAAAATGGACATGTTTCATTTCTTTATCAGTGAATGACATGACTATTAATTATAGGGTGTAGAAATCCATTTGTTTCCACAATGATTTATTCTCATGGTTATTACACTACCATTCCTAACATTGAAATTCTATTTCATTAAATATTGATAATAACAGTCATACCACAGAATTGGACTTCAACCTTCACATTGAACAGATAAGCAGACCAAGGCCCAGAAAGTGACCTTCCTCAAGTCACATGTTCACAGCAGAGCTGGAACCAGAATGTAGATCCTGACTCCTGGTCCAGTGATCTTTTCGGTGCTCCTCATATCAATGTTACAATCAAGATGACTTCACTCAGAAAGGGAGGAAAATGAAATCAAAGGATTGTTATTGAAATTTATATTCCAGAGTCAGTGTAGACTTTTCTCTGAAACACCTCAAGGTATGCATTATTCTCATTCTTAAATGTGAGTAAACTTAGTTGAGTTCCAAAGAGATTACGTTTCTTGCCCAAGGCCACTTTCTAAGTGGTAGATCTGTCGACCTGAAAGCTCATTCTCTCTCTGGTACCCTGCTCTCCCTTCATAATACAGTTAAATAAAACATTTCTACAAAGGAGATCTACAGTAGAAACCAGCCACTAATAGCAGATTATATCCATTTTCAGGAAAATGTTAATAGTTAACATTCAATATAAATAATGTCATCTGTACATGATGGAACATGATGAAAAATTATAGGTCAGATACTCCTTACATCCTGAGATACTTTCCTTTATCTGGCCAAATGTGTTTCTATAGCCCTCCAACGTTTATGGTTCTCTATAGTGTCCTTCCATAGACATTACAACTCTTGTCCAATTAGTTCTACAAGGCAAAGGCATTTTCTCGGGCATACTTAAATAGTCAGAACATGGATCTTGTTGAAAAGCTTTATGCTACATGCCCTTGCTCTGACTTGTTACATTATTATTTAGAAAACCAGACACTTCTTCAGGCTGTTATATAACTGCAATGGAATGACACCCCTGAATATCTGCTTTCTTTCTCTAAGGCATATTTTCACCCCTAGCTACCTGTAATAGTGAAAAAATAAAAAGGAAGGAATACTAGGTGTATTCAGAATAGAGACTACAGCTGTATTATTTTCTGTGTAACTGTTCTTGAGCTCTCTCGCGCTCTCTCTCTCTCTCTTCTTCTCTTCTTCCCATCTTCTCTTTTATCAACTAAAGAGAATGAGAGAAGAGTTATTTCTGATTGCCCCATGTCTGAAAAATCATCAGACATTTTTGAATGGGAAAATATATTTTTTCAGCTTTTATAACCAAAAATCTGTTTGCCTACTATACCCAAGTCTGAATAAAACAGTAATTCAAATATCCTGTGACCCCCTTTATATCCTGTCCTTGTACTGGGGACGTTCCCTATGTAAACTCCACAGTCTGGGTGGAGATAAAGCAAGAGCTTCACTCTTGGTGCTGGTGGCTACAAGAAACCAGAAGCCAGAAAGTATGTGCCTTGCTTCCTTGCCTTGATCTTGTCTTTAGGAACTTGGCTGCGGTCAGTGGAAGCCAGCCAGTGACTTGAAGAAGAGAGGTGTAGTTGGCAGGTTTGTCTCCAGGGAATTTCATTATCTCCGTCTAAACCTCCACCTGAGGGCCTTTGGGATCGCATGTCAGTCTTCTCCTTTCTTATTGATCAGGTGAAGTGTTCTGAGACATGGTATTATTTGTTGCTGCACTAGAGATGACAAGGTTTCAGTCTCATCCACATTCAGACAGCAGAGTTCACATTTCAAGTCCCTGATCTGGCTGGTCCTAGGTACAAGCAAATATCCTCTCTGGGTGGTGAAAGAACTTGACAGGTTAAAAATGCACCATTAATGAACTCCAAAGACCCTAGAAAAAGAAAGCCAACCCTCTAAGATTGCTTCATTTAAAAAAAAAAACCCAACTTTTTTTAATTTACATATTAGGGACAGATATTTTATCCAACATTTTAAATCCACTTTGGTTTTTGAGAAAGCACAGAAGTAATGGAAGGTTTTTGTTGTCTTCTTTAAAAATTAAAAGAAACCCTTCAAGAGGCAAAGTGTGGTGACAATCTCATTATACTTTAGCCTGAAGTCTATAAATCACTTAGAGAAATTAAACACAGGCAAATATCCTTGAAAGCCACAAAAAAATTGATTTCTTTCCCAGAAATCAGATACCGTC